GCTAGGATTACAAGTGTGACCCACCACGACCGGCCTCAAAGTGACTGTCTTAACAGACACTGTCTTGCTGTCACTAGTGATTAGCACCTGGCACCAGCTGTTGAAGGCTCTGCCAAAATTACACTCTTCCTTGCAAGACATTGATGTCCATTCAGATCAGCCTGGGACCCTCTCCTTGTCCACATCACTCTCCTTGGACTGGTTCATTGACCCCTTTTCCTATCCCTTTCTCTCTTGATGTTAAATATTGCTTTGATGTGGAATGTTTCGTCTATAACATTTCTATGTTGATTAAGTACACTACTATGTATGGTTTGCAGTACTGACTGACTTGTGGAGTGGCTTGAGCCTGCATGCCCAGGGCTCTGCCCACCTGAGAACTGCCCCCGGGGAACTCCGTGCGGCTTGTGGATTTTATGATGGAAATAGCATCAGTAGAAGCCTGACCTCGTGGACAGACACCAACGTGCACGGACCTGGTCATGTCTGACCTTGTACCACTCAGGACAAAGCTACAAGTGGTTACGGAGAGGAGCCAAGCCCTCTGGGCCCGCCCGGGTGCCCCGCTGGCCTCTCGGGCTGAGCTACCTCCATGCCATCCCCTGGGGTTTTAAAGCCGCCACCTCCTCACCATGTTGGGGAAAAAGGCTTCGGCCTTGGAGAACTCTTTGAGCTTGAAGAGCTGCGGAATGTCGATGATGTCACTCTCAGCCAGGCCCAGCTCCCGCTTCAGCAGCTCGCGGTTCCAGTCAATGCATCTCTGAGGGGAGGGGCAGAGGCAGTGAGTGGGGAACTGCCGGTGGTGGGGCTGGTGGGGGACAGTGTGGGAACTGAGGTCCCCTGGCCGAGGGAAGGACCTGGGACAGTGTCAGGAAGGCAGTGAGGGCAGCTGCCAGGGTCCCCTGCACAGAGAGACCTCTGGCCAGTACTCTCGGGGGGCCCTGGGGCCTCCTGCTTCCTCTGCTCCCTCAGCCTCTCCCAGTCTCTGCCTCGCCCCTGCTTCTGTGTGTCTGTCTCCCAGCACATCCTGAGATCCTGAGGGAGACTCCTGCGATGTGCCTCTAATCACTGGGAAAGTGGCTGGGGGTGGGGAGTGGG